TAGATCTGGAGAAATTTATCGGTACGTGTCGCATATATAAAAATGTTAGCCCCCCCCCCCCATTGAAGTAAAGACATCAAAATGTGCAGGGTCGAGACTAACCCTTAATTGGCATAATTATTAAATATTTAATTGTATACACAGACGCACACGCATGATACGTTAGAGTTTTTTCGTAATAGATGCAGAACGGTGTTGAGAGGCCGGATATTAGTTTAAAATTAAAGAGTAATGCCTGGTAGTCACGTTTAAACCCTTTCCCATTACCATCGAATCGAATTGTGATCACAATTACGCATCAAAGCGTTATGATATACGATATTGTTTTCCAATTCATATACACACACATACGTTTACATGCATACACACGCGTGCGATCGCGCGCACGCGCCCACACATATACACGCACACACAAATATATACACACACACATATGTATATATATATTTATATGTAGTACACACAGTTGGAAAGTACTCTATTTTATAAGATCAAGTACGATATCATTTTGATTTAAAATAATTATACTGCTAATAATAATTATATATGAAATTAAATATAAATATATTATTTAAATATATTTCTGTTGTAAATCTCTACTGAATTATAATTAGTTTTCGATCAAGTATTATATATTTTATTTGGAAGCACGTATGCACTGTTAATATATCTGTCAATAGTTTTTGTCCATAAGATAATTTGCTTATCTATAACAAATGATCTACTTACAAATTTAATTCTTGTGATATATGCGTGTAATGTTGTTCCTATTTTGTATATATAAATTATTTTAAAATGTTTTCAATTGTATGCATTAAAAAATTCTATAATATACATAGCTGAACATTTGAAATTATAAAAACAATATTTTACTATGTATCATAAATGTTCTGTAAAACTTTGAAAAGACAATGAAAATTAAGAAACTATTTTTTGTAAAAATAATTAAGCAATCATTAATCATTTTTTATTCCTTTTCCAACTGTGTATCATACAGCACAAACATAATCAGAATAATATATAAATATACAAAGTCATAAATATATACAAAGGAAACATTCGTGTAGAAAACACCACCTAGAAATAAAGCAAACATATAGTACGTTACAATATAGCAAAGGAAAAAAAGGATAAGGATATTTGATAAATAATAATACATAGGAATTAAAAGATATAAAGAGAGTAGGTAATAGGATCAGGGAAAAATATTTTAGCGACAATTGTTTAAATAGTAATACGATGCATGATGTTGTTTTACAAACCGCAATAGGACGGTTCAAAAGTTCATCTTGATATACTGATAAAACTCAATGAGAAATTTACACTAAATTATATATTGATTGACGTACATCCCGAGTTTGTTTCACTTTCAGTTCTATTCAGTTTGATTCAAGGAAATTATATTATACTAGTATACGAAGCCAACATCGCCTACTTTACGTAAAGGTCGCTCACTTTATGACATATTCAATTGTTGCATTAGTATTAACTATTTCTATATTATGTTTATGAGTTGGAACTCGTGGGAAATTTATTTTGATAAGATGAAAGTGAAATTCTTTACGTTGTTTTTATTCGAGCAGCCTTTCCAGAATTTTCGAAAACAATTTTATTTTAAAACTAATTTCTATGCTCGTTCATAAGCGTTTTAAACGTAGCTTAACTAAATTTACAGACTTATTATTAAAATAAAATATTTTAACAATGAATTAAAACTTTATATTATGTTTTCATGAAAACGAAGTATATATAATTAGGTCAATAAAATTGTGAAAATTGATAGTAGAAAATGAAGATCTATTATATTGAGCTTCTAAGTCAAAAAAATATTATTCGATTTTAATTTTTGCACTTGTGATAAGAATGCTTTTTTCTATTTATTTTTAGTATTGTTTAAAGCCACTTTATCGTTATTCTCATAAAAATCAAATGTTAAATTAATACACAATATTTTAGTTTACTTAAATCCTTACATAATTTAAAATGCATTTATATTATACTATATATACTACTATACATATTATATGTACTACCACTACCACTACCTTTACTACTACTACCACTACTACTACTACTACTACTACTACTACTACTACTACTACTACTACTACATACTACTATATATATTATATTAGTAATTTCACTTAAATTTATCTTTTTGAAATTTAAGATATTTTTTAAATATAAAATTAAAAATTTTTTTACGTATACTATATGAAAGTAAAAATGTAAGAAATCTTAAATATTTTATTTGTTATTAATATTATACAATAAAATTGATTGTTTCACATTGGCTTTGAGTGATACAATTTCTTCTTGCATCCACGAGTTTCTATCTTTTACGTAAAACTATGCATTCTCAGTCTTAAATAAATACAGTTTTTAAATGATTTAATTATAAACTATACAGCAGCTATTTCACCGTGTAAAGTCTTAATTATGTATTATAATGTTATGTATGTTATAATAAAATCGACAACATTATATTCCTAAAGCCAATTACATTTTACAATATGCTCACGTCGTAATTCGTTAAGCAATCGATTTCTTGTCCTTATGCTACAATACGATCATGGCAATTTTATTTCTCTATTATTTTTTTAATTGATGAATAATTTTAAAATAAATTAAATGAAAAATATTCGCAATATTTAAATAGAAAAAAGCGTTGAGGCAAGAGGTAAAAAGCAAAAAAGCTTTACGATCTCCCATAGAATGAAACATGTTTGGGCTTTACATAGATATGTGAATAAAATAACAAAAACTGGCTTTGAGTTAGGAATAAAGATAATACATTAAATTTTTTTTTATTTAAAAATTGTGAATTCTGAATTTATTTATTTCAATTCATCGTCTTATTAATGTTATCGAAAATCTACGATTATATATAAAATTTGCAATATAATATATATAATAATTATTATCTTATTATCGTTTCATACTAAACATGATTCAAATATTTAAAGATTTTCAAGGAGAAATATGAAAATATTAATTATATTATGTAGCAAACATTATGTTTTCAAAAAATTGTTATATCGAATTGCTAATGATCAGAAAAAAATTATAAATCAAATTGAGTGTTGGAAATAAAAATTTTTAATTTAATACCTTTTTATTATTATTATCTGTTGTATGAAATAAAAATCTTGCCAATATTGCTTTCCAGTATTTATAGTTGCATATATATTATGATTGTATAAAATAATACGTCAAACTGTATGCTTATATTTATAAAAGGACAATTTTTACTCATTTCATCTAATTATTATAAAAATTTTCTTTAATTCAGATGTATTCGCATAATTTTACTGTACTTGTTTCGCATTATAATAATATTTTGGATACTAAGAAAAAATATATATTTAATTAGACTTCTCCTACAAGCGAATAGGCGAGAAAAACAGGTGCAAAACAATAAAAATTATTTTATAATACTAATTGAATTTTGAGTTTCGTGATTTGAAAGCCAAATATATCAGCGTTTGATTTCATTTCCAGCTTTGGGCTTCCTTCACATTGAAAAGAAAATAAGTATGAAATATCTATTGTTATTTATATATTCGTAAATCAAATGTCGACGAATTTTACTGTTTTTTGAATAATTAACTATATGATTAAATGATAATTACGTATTTGTAAGCGATAAAAAGAAATCATACTCACAAAATTAATGCAAATTGCTCCTTGTATAAATTGGTAAATGTTTTAGATTGATAAAATGAAATTATATATTAAAACTTTTAAAAATGTTTCATCAGATTTTCATTAAATGTTAAAGGTAAACATCTTGATTGCTTATGCTATGAAGGGCATCTGGGGTATGTATGAGGCTTAAAATAATGAAATTGTGTCGTAAAGGCAAATACAACAAATGTCCTTGCTTGACATTTGAATTTTGGAAAAGGGCATGTGTTTATCAAGTGTTTTGTTCTAATGTATAAAAACTGAATCCATATTTTTCTTATATGTCGCGTCTTTTCGTGCTTTTAACCTACAATGTTTTCGCTATTTGCACCGTCAAAACAAAGCAGCAACATTTTTTTTTAGTTCTGACGTATTAGTAATATCTTACATTTCAGATGTTAACGGTAAAGCAGACATTTTTAGTTTACGATAAATATATCGGAAATAATAATTTAAAAGAAGTTACTTTAAATAGAACGACAAAGACACAATTTGGAAATTCTGAATATATTTTAATTGCTTTAATAAGTACTTTTGAGTATTGAATAATTTATTATTTATTTGAATATTAAAATATTTTGAAATTTCTTACATGAATAATTAATTTAAATTTTCAACAAAATTATTTTCTAAAATGATCGTTAACAATAATGGTGAAAAATATGCTTCGAACTTCCTTTAAAATTTAATTACACTTATAACTTTATAATTTCTAAAGCACCATTATAACTTTCTATGTTTATTAGTCTAATTTTAATTTAAGATCTTAATACCAGAAAAAAAAAATTTAAATATGAATAATTATTTTAGTCTGCTCTGATGTACATGTAATCCAAGGAAAAGATCATGGAATGACATCTTATTTTTTGCAGAAATGCAATAAGCTAGCTTCGAGTTAAACGTAAAATGTATTGAAGTACAGTAGTGTATATGAAAATTTTGTTATTGAATTTTAATATTTTTTTATTGAAATTTAATATTCCCCTGTTGGCAAAAGAATAAAAAAAGAGCAAGCAATTTCAAAAGCAATGCGACACTAAAAAAGTAATAAAAAGGTGTTGTAGATGTATTAAAGGTTTGAAAGAACATAGAATTTCTGCTGAATAAGCGGTTGAAATAGATAGAACGTAGGTAGAAAGATGTGTATGTCGATACACATAAAAAGAGAGATGGTTAGAGATGTAGAGAGAGAGAGAGAGAGAGAGAGAGAGAGAGAGAGAGGGAACGAGAATGGAATAGACGAGGAAAGAGGGGGGGGGTGGTGGTACATCATAGAGGTATCGCAGGTGCAAGGCAGGTAAGCATTGACTCACCCTCGCGGCGATCGAGGTGGTCGGCTTCTCTAGCAGATCCCATAAATACTTCTGGTATTGAGCACATTTGCCATCTCCAAATTCCTCCTCGTCTCGTTGTCTCAGCGACTCGGCCTCCTTGCGCATCTCCTCGTGCACATGCTCCTTTCGCTGATGGTACTTGTGCTGGCAGCAACTCTCTAGATACAGCTCGTCGACCCCCCAGTACTCGAGGTCGTCGCTGAACGCAAGCACGCACATCTCGTCGACGATGTGGAGCTTGCCCGTGCGGTAGAAATTTAGAATCGAGCTGAAGGACTTGGGATGCCGGTCGAAAAAGTACTCGTTGTCGATGAGCGAGTAGTCGTCGCATATCTCGACGATGGCCTCGTGAGTGTTGCAGTCGCGAAGGCGGCCGAGTCGGGTGTGCGGGAGCCGTTCGAGGGTACGCCAGAGCACCTCGTGCTTGACGCCACCGACGTTTATAGAGACGCGTCGGTTCAGCGCCTTGGAGCGCATTATCATAAAGGGCTCGGGCGGCAGAGAGCTCATCGACTGGGAGAAGCCGTGCTGCGTTTCGAACATCTCGAGCTCCGGCTGATCCCCACCGGCGACCGGTAGCGAGGGCGGCGGAGGCGGGAGGGCCGTGGCCGGGAAGCCCGCTGCGTAGCGGACCTCCTTCGTGGTCGTTCCCATTGCCGCCGCCGCCGCCGCCGTCGCTGCTGCCACCGCCGACGCGGCATCCTTGGGGAGTGCCGCAGTCGGCAGCAGCACGCCACCGCCGACGCCGGGGAAGTAGGATCCGCCGGCGCCTGGCGTCACACCTTCGAAGCCGAAGGTCTGCTGCTGTTGACATAGTGCGAGCCCGTGCGCCTGCGAGCTGCCGCTGCTGTTCCCGTTGCGATCCGGCTCGACGCCCGACCCGCCGTCCTCGCCCTCGTACCTCGTCTTGTTGTCCTTGAGCATCGGACGAGCCGCGACGAGGGAAGAAGAGCCACCTGGCAGCTCCTCCACCTGCGCCCGGCTATTTCCTCATCCGCCGGTACAAGGGCTGCTCACCACTTCATCCGAGCACCGATTCGCGGGGATGCCCGAACACCGAGGCGTCATAATATAGCCTGGAAACAGATATAATAACCTTCAAGTTTGTCTGTGCATTCAGCTTTCATTAGGTGTGGCTTGTGAGCCAACGAATTCCCAGATTTTTTTTTTTTTAACCGCTAACGAGCGTTTTCGCTGTTGATTTAAGTTGTTATGTGACTTGTGTTTGTAACTATATCGCGTGCATTTCAATAGGGGCATGTAATTAAATTAATAGACATTATACTGTAAGCACTTGAAAGCAGAATACACGCAATCCTAAATGTGAAAGATAATCGACGAAATCTGACATCCCTTTCTGGATATTCTTGTTATCCATTGATTTTTTCTATTCAAAGGCGGCAAAAGATTAATTGTAAAACAGTTATTTATTTTATGATTAGCAAACGGTTCTTTCCCAAGACAAAAGATAGTTACATAGTGATCGTTTATTTTCACAAAGTTTTAAATTTTTGTTTCAAATGTAAAAATGAATGGAAAAAAAACTTATTTGACATTCAAATAGGTACTGTTATATTATGAATTTTATAACAAAATTAAAATACAGTGTACTGCCCATGAGCAAATTTTACAAGATTCGAAAAACTAAATTAGATTGCACAATAAAATTTAATTCAACATTTTATCAATATTTTATATTTTTATGTCTGAAATTATCGCTACGAAATTTATTACTCTACCGTAAAGGTAATGATCTTAAAAATAACGTTAGGAAAAGTAAACGATGTAAAATATAACGTTATGAAAACTTAAGAATATATTTTATTATTACCAAATAATATTTTAGGCATAAAATTTTATTCAAAATTATTATAAATAAAGTTTATACTAACGATAAGTTATTATCGAGGTAATATTAGCCTTTGTAGATATATATTAAATATTCGAATAGCCTAATATTTTATACCAATCAATAAAACTAGTTTCACAACTACATGATTTATAATAAATGATGTCAACGTAATTTTAATGCCTATTGATCAATTTTAGTCTTGAGTAATATTTATATTAAAATACTTAGATTAAATTTAAATGCAGTCGAATAATATTACTATATTTCTTTTCATTTAAAATTGATTGATATTTAACTTTATTATAAAAATATAATTGAATTAATAATATAAACGTATATGTGTATGACGACGATTATATATATATATATATATATGTATATATATATATATATATATGCAAGCAATAAACGAAGCGTATTTTTTAGGTTATTATTTAATATACAGGCTGATATTTATTTATTTCTTGTTGAATATGTGGGTATGTATATTTATATTTTTTTATATATATTTTTAAGTATTTTTTCGACAAATATGTTTATAAAAATTTTGGATTTAATTCATGATTTTATTAAATAAAATCTAAAATTTCCATGATGAATGAACAAGTCCATTTGATTTATAATATATATTAACGAAAAACTACGAATTTTATTTTATTATTGGATTATTATTAATTAATAAAAAATATTCATATTAATCTTATATTCACTGTATTATAATACAAGAATAATTCACAAATTTTTCCATACTTGCATTTTCTATAATAATATTCTTTTATTAAAAGCTGTTAATAATATTTAAATAAAACATATTTTTTTAAAGTTATTATTGTGTTGTTCGTTATATTAAAAATGATAGTTAGTGTAATGATTTATATATATATATATATATATTTATATGTATATATATAAATCATCATCAACTTATAATCTATTGTGCAATTATTAATATTCATTATACAAATTTATAAATTTATTATAAAAATTTTGTTAATAATATACCAAAATATAAGCTGAATATATTTTAGTATATTAATGATATATATAATTGATATAATACCATTTTTTACATGAAATATAATAGCATTTAATCTATATTCAATTTAAAAATAGAATATATAATAGTATTATAATAGTTAAATAAGTAAATTTTTCTAGCATTTATTTTCATATTCATTGTAATATTATACATAGTGTTTATAGTAAATAAAAAAGATGAATTTTACCTAAAAAATTATAAAATACGTATAACTGAATGAACATGTTTAAAAAAAATAAAAAAAAGTGTTAATAAAACAAATTAAATGCAAAATTGAATGAGTTACAATATATATTTGAAAAGAATCTCTCTCTATACATTTTAAAATATTAATGATCCTATAAAATATTTTACTTTAGAATGAAATATATTAATAATGTTATTACATAAATAGAGCAGTAGTAAAAAATTATTCATATTTACCTTGACATATAGACAAATATAGGTATACTTGAGAATCTACGAATGGCTTATTTATGTAAGAGATTTTATTGGTAAAGCGCTTATTTCTTTGGATGTAGAAAATTGAAGTGACAGAATCTTGCAATTTACACAAAAGGATGCGAGTATAGAATATCAGTAATAAATACACGACTCGTTTTTCTATTATTTACTTTAAATTTATTTTAAAATTGTATCATTACCTTTTTTTTCAACATAACGTTACAAAGTACGTGCTTACCAATTTGGTCAAATGATGCTGCTGCTGTTATACCTCATTAAAACATAACAATTTATTTTTTAACAGGAAATTATTTATACTTTTAAAATATTTTTTATTATAGCCAACAGTAAATATATCAGAAATAGAAAAAATGTTTCTTTAATATGTATTTACATTAATTAAGCCCTTAATAGATGATTTTTTCAGTATATAATATTATCATAGGAAATATTTGTTTTTATCATGTAATTAATATAGAATATTTTTAAATATAGTCTGAAAAATTAATTTGAATTTTATAAAATACGGTTTACCTTTATATTTCTTTATTGTATCAAATCACAATATTTTTATAAAATGAATTACTAAATTTCATTGAATTATTTTAACTATATCAATTTAAATTTTTGATATAGTTAAACTATATCAATATAGTAATATAGCAACAATATAGTAACTATATCAATTTAAATTTTTGATAATACATTATATAATTTGTTTATAAAAAACAATTCACATAAAATAGTTCTTTATAAATCATTAATCGTATCGATTTGTGTAAGCAATATTTCTATACTTTCTACATTGCCTCATCCCCGCCCCCACAAATTTTAATAAATCTTTGAATTATATAATGTGATATAGATACTAAGCTAATCAAGTATAAAGCATAAAAAATATTAAGATACTTTAATGAAAATTATAAATATATAATCACTTACTTCTAATGAATTTTGTTTAATTTTGTTTAATATTAGATAAATAAATAATATCAGTTTATATAATATTAAATTTGTTGAAGTTAATTTATCGTAAGTATCCCAACACTAAGAAATTGAAATTGTTAGTTAAAATAAGTCTATACCTCATTATCACCGGTGGAGAAATTAAAAAATAAAATTAAATATAAAATGATTAATAATATATTGATTTGACTAACGAAGTTTAATTTTTACACTTATATTTGTATATCAACAAGACTTATTTAAATCAATAATTTATAAAATATTGTAAATTATATATATATGAGATTTTATTAATAAACTTAGCTTTATAAATAATGTAGTTTTTGCACGTAGAGTTAACCATGAGTTGTATAATAAGTGATACTAATGTACAATTACTTTTTGCGGTTAGTAATCAATACTCGATAGTATGCGGAATATTGCTCAAAAGAAGTTGTCTATTCAAGAATTTGTTCCTATTCATCGTAATGATAAAAAAATAAAATATAGTGAAGCATATGGTATTTCGATTTCATGATTACATTTCGGTTGAATTGCATAGTTACATAAACCGATTGCCGAGAGTCTATATGTGCGTTTTTGAATAACCATTATAGAGACATCGCCAATAAAAAAGTAATAAAGTCCTATTTCATTTTCAGTTTTTACACTATTGTGAAATGTAGTATTTGATAAATAGTTGTTAAAAGTACTGTTAAAGTTATTTCCCATTGAACAAAAAAAAAGCGTAAAAACCCACTTTATCAATCATGATATATAATTTCGATAATTCTTACCGGATTTGCAACACTATAATTTTATTAAATACATAAATATAATTCAATATGTATGTATATGTATATATATATATATATATATATATATATATAGTTTAAAAAAAATTGATTTTATATTATGAAATAATTTATTAGTTGTTAAGGAAATTACAGGATATATTATTTGAAATCATAATAAAATTAGTTGAGACTTTCGTCTATTTCGAAATATTCACTTCGACTCCGTCCTGATTTTGATAATCTATTAGGATATGAATTTACAGTTCAGTATTTATTTTGCCGATATTTTAAAGCGTAATAAATTATATGAAAGAAACACTACTTTTAAGGAAAAAAGATTTACACATTTTGATGCAGTAAAATGGGTACAATATCGATAAGAAATTTCATATGAATAATCGGCTGCTGGTCATTTTTATTTATACATTACTACCGCAGTGGTAAGAAGCGCGATAATTTGCTTTTAATAGTTTTTTTTTTACAATACCTTTTATATTAGACTATATATATATATATATATATCAAAAAAAGATATATAAAAAAAGATATATATATATATATATATCTTTTTTTATGTATTAAATAAAATCAACTTTCAAATGATGGTAATATTTTTATTTCCCTAGATTTTTATTATTAATGTTCAATACTGATGCTTTAGTTGAAGATATTTTAACATAATATAAATTATTTCATTAAAATAATTGAATTTATTTATATAATAGTTAAAATATCTGGTAAAAAGAGTGGCAAACAAATTTAACAGTCAAATAATGAATGGATAATTTAGGATAATTTAATATCAGTAATTGTAAGAAATTCACAGACAAATTTTAGAATATCAATTAGAAAACTCAAAAATATATTGATTCAAGAATCGAATGTTGTTGTTTTAGTAGTCGTTCTTTTAGTAGCGATCAATTATACTTTACAGTAGATTATCCCATGAATTCCTTATTTTAATTAATAAGTAATCAGAGAAAAACAAATGATTTAAGG